AATAGTCAGGAGCTGCCAAGGCGATGAGGGTATCGGTATAGGAGATGTGAAGTCGAGAAGGTTGCTGTTTATAGATGACGTTGTTTTATTAGCATCTTCTGAAACTGATCTCCAGTGATCCTTAGAAAGGTTCGCAGCCGAGTGGGACGTGACCGGCATGCGTGTGAACGCATCTAAAACGAAAAGCCTAGTGCTTCCTCGTTCTCCTGTCCGTTGCTCTCTTCAGGTTAACGGAGAGGCAGTGGAGCAGGTGAGGAAGTTCAAGTACCTCAGAACTATATTTACTAGTGGTGGAAAATTGGAGGAAGAGATCGACCGGCGAATTGGAGTAGCCAGTGGCGTTCTGCGTGAAGTAGCCCGACCCGTTGTGACGAAAGCACAGCTCAGTCTGAAAACTGTGCTCTCAGTATTCAAGTCGATCTTTATCCCCATACTTACCTACGGTCATGAATCGTGGACCATGACTGTAAAACTTCGAACCCGGGTAACCGCAACTGAAGTAGGCTTTCTGAGATGAATCGCATGTCTGAAGCATCTCGACATGGTTGGAGTACCGAAATGTGGGAGAACCTTTGTATCCAGCCGCTTCTTTCTTCAGATTAAGAAGGTGTAGCTGACGATTGTTTGGGAATGTGTTTCGAATGGCGCAAACGGGGAAGCTGAGCTACCATTGCTTTCTGGACCTACCGGCAGAAAACCCTGTAGACTACCAAGATTGACCTGAGGCAAGTGTATGAAATAAGTCCGTTCTAGACTCTGGTTTTCTGCTGCTGAAGCTCAGGCGCTGGCGCAAGATGGAAACCGTTGGAAGCACAATTTGACGAATTTGCCTGCACGATCCGAATGGAGAAACGGTTATGGAAAGTGGAAATGCTACAATCCAATATATGAAGCTTTTCGCAATGCCGGCACCTTTTCAATCGAGATTCCTTGTCGATTTCAAGTCGAAGGTAATCGCTAGAGACACGGAATGCCGGAGAATCAATGTAGAACGTAGCTTTGATTAATGCGATCAACAGTGCTTATATGAGTCTAATACAAATGTTGCTCGATTCATACACAGACGGTGAGATTGTTCAAAGCCTGACCGTTTTATATAATGATGGCAATTACCTTTGCATGCGGATTAGCAGCGCTTTGCAGTAAAGATAGATATTCTGTGAAATGAAGTATATGCTTTTATTCGAGAAACCGAAATTGTCAGTAGTCAATATGTCACGTTGTTCTGCGGACATGGATCTCCGTACTGTTGCTTAGCAACATCAAGTGATTACCTGCCTAGCAACGGAACGCTGAAACGAAGCTACCACAAATTCAATTAAAATATCGTCGTTTCAGAGCAGTGATGATGGCTGGCCATTCTGAGGTCATATACAAGTTTCAAGGGAATGTGGAAAAGTTCAGAATTAAGTAAGTCAGTTTCTGCTTTACAAACATACGAGTTCTTCGCAGAGTTTCGTTGGAACGCTCATCTTCTAAACAGAAGGGACTGTTCATCAAAAGTTCAGAGATCAATTTTGCCGCCGAGGAGCTCTCCTCCCTAGCAGAGAGCGTCACAGCGGATGAAGGAACGAAAAGCTGCATCAACGGAGCGGATTTTGACGAAGCGGTTCTGGAGACATACACATTTCGATGGAAAGAAAGAGTGTTCAGTCAAGTAATTGTTCGTTCGGCGTTAACCAGCCGATTACTTCACTTGCAAATGAACTGTGTTTTAGAGGGAAGTCGAGGTTTATTCTAATTTAAATAACTGTAAGTCGGCAACCGAATTGGAATATCATGATCAAGTGTTGAAATTGAACGTTTCTGATGGCCGTTCCACAAGACGTTTATTTTCAATCGTGGAGTGCGACACGAAGCCAGCGGAAAACGAGGCCGGTTGGATTACCAAATGAGCCATTTTTGAAATTATCTTATAATTTTAGGACAGGGAAAAGTTCAAGAACCAGACAAGACTGAATTTCCGTCGTTGCCAAATTCAACCAAAATCACAAATGTAAGATGATTTCTGATTAAATCAACAGGTTTGGAAAGAGGAACTGCAAATCATAACAATAATAAAGTACAAAATAGTTTATTTTCTGCTGATAGAAGTAAATGAAGGAATTAATAATTTCATGAACATTGCACAGTGTGTTTATGCGGTTTTCATAACCCAGAGAACATATATATTAAACAGAACATATAGAGAACATATATTATTATTTGGTTAAAGTTCTTGCTGACATGAAACATCATCGGACTGCCTTCCAGTCTAATCAACTCGGCGATTTAATTTTTTTAAAAGGCATGTAGAATTATGAAACAATATTGCCATGTTCTCTGTAGTGATTAATATTGAACGCGGACACAAATCCTCCAGTCATGCTTTGTGACCAGAGTGTTCTTCCTTTATACTTGCCTTAGTGACATAGGGAACCCGTCTACTACATGATCATTGTTATTTCATTATTTGACCGATCCAGTGCTTCACCGCAGTCCATCTTAGAAAGAGATCACCTACTTTCATCACTGCCTGATCTCCCTGTTGTGAACATAGCTTAACTGTTAAGGCTTAACGGAACTATTCTGAATCTAAATTTCAAAAGTCACTTCATCATTGCTCTGATAATTGACAATGTTTTGCTAAATACTGTCGGTTACTAGATACAATCGATTAAGTTTCAACCTTCTTTATGCCAAGAGCCTGAAAATTAAAACGCATTCTGTTTCAACCAAGACAAGAAAGTAAGTATTCCTCAGAGTGAGAGGAAGTGAGTAAATAATGAAGTAGGTAGGTCCTCAAACTAGCAAGCAGGAAGCAAGGAAGGAAATGACGAAGGAAGATACATGGGTTGACATATACGCAAGAAAGTTAATCAATGACTACGTAAGGAGGCAAGCAAATAAGTAGGGCAGTAAATGGGTAGCTGAAAATACATATAACCGTTTCAAGAATCACTTTTTGTAATCAGTAAAAGGTTTGTCTGCATGAGTTAAGGTTACAAAGAAGCATACCCTGAATAGGCTTCTTAATTCTATAAGGAGTAGAAATCAGCTGATGACCATCAGCTACTCTTTTGTTAGCTATTTCAAAATGCTGGTGAAAAGCCATATTCATTTTGCAATATGTTCTGCTTCTGCATTTGTTATGAGATATATTTTATATCTTTCTTAGAGCTTCCCGTAAGCCGATAGTAAAAACGGTGAAGCGTGGTAGACATCGTCTGGCTGCCTCGACATCGAACCGCGTGGAAACGATGATCATCTGCGCAGATCTTAATCCAAAAGATATCCAGCTCCCAGAAGAGGCTGATGTACATGTGTTATGCACCATCCGGTTGATAGACGGGAAATATTTGTCCGTAGAACCTGATTTTAACGAATATCCAAGAAAGCCGTATGAAATTGAAAGTCGAATTGGAATATTTTACTATAGGCTCGAGCATGCTACTGCAGACAGTCAACAAAACGGACACGAAATGCTACACACGAAGGTGTGTATACAATCATTTGGTTTATTTGCATTACCTGAATGTATTCAGACGGATATGACTTTTCTGTTATGCAAGTTTGTCTAACCGAAGGCTATAACGTTTAACACTACCAAATGAGACAGTATGACATAGTTGATCGTTCAATGTAATTAACGGGGAACACTATTTCTAGTCTCGATTTTCAATCACGTGTGATTTGACGCAACGTCCTTTCATATCTCCCTTGTGCTTCATCGTCTCATCTGAATCATGCCTTCCAATTGGGCGCTTGTAGCCCTTACCGTATCAGTACAGCGACGAGGAAGTCAATCAGTCATTCGTCAGTTGCTCAATTTCACCAACGAATCGGAATAGCCAGTAACATTCTGCTTGAACTATCCTGAACTGTTGTGACGAAGGCAGAGTAGAGTATAAAGAATAGGCTATGTTCAAGTCAGTTTTCATTCCCATGTCCGCATATGCTCATCGGTCTAAGAAATTACTAAGAAACTGCGATCCTGGGTACAAACGGCTGTAAAGGGTTTTCTGAGATGAATCGTTTGGCCAATGATTCTCGATATACTCCGGACATCAGATTCCTGAGAAAGTCTTCATATGTTGCCACTGCTTCGGTTTGGGCACACCTTGC